GCTGACCCTCCTAAAACAAAGACCTCTAGATAGGCTGACTAGATTCACAAGGGCAAGTAGTGGGGAATGTCAGGGGTTGCCGACAACACAGCAGACAGTAACAGGGATATCAGAGTATAAGGGCTGTAGTCCAGGGAGGGAGGCTATGGGAGGGTGCCATCTGGGAAGTGGGTGTATAGTTGAATAAGATGGTTTGGGATGTTCTGTGTGATACACACACACACACACACACAGAAGACAAAAATAAAATGAAATAAAAACAAACAAACAGGAGGAAGCATGGAAATTTACGTCATGTTAATTAGTAGAGGTGATAAACGTTACCATTGAAATCTACCCGATGACTTTACAGACATACACAGGTGCCAAGGATCTGAGTGCAACCGATTATGATTAGTAATAATCAGATATATACAGATTAGAGACATGTGCCACATCACAGTGTTATTAGCAAAAAAATGTCTTTCTGTAAGAAACAGTATACTTTAAAATGAAATGGGAGCTTTTTTAAAGGTTAAAAAACTCATTCAATATTATGTCTTACAGGGCTTATACTGAGTTCAATATTGTGTAACTTTATTAACTCAACTGTGAACCTAGAAAATTCCCCCTTTTTAATACATAAACATATGCATGTGATAGTCCTCTTGAGAGCCCTAATATTTGCAAAATCATATTCTATTAGTCAAAAAGAACATATCAAATTCTGATTTGATTCATATGTCCTACAAATATTCATCCTTTTCATTTATCATATTTTTCCCCCTTTGATTTTTTTTTGAGATAGGGTCATATTATATAGCCAGGTTGGCTTCAAACTCTCAATCCTCCTGCCTCAGTCATTCTAGTATTAGGATTATAGGCATGCACAACACTTAGCTTGTGATATACATGTACATGTTACATATTATATACGTAAGACAAGGTCTTGCTGTGTCGCCTTAGATGACCTAAAATTCACTATGCATACCAGGTTAGCCTTAAAGTTATAATGATCCACCTGCCCATCCCTGCCTCCGAAATGCTGAGATCACAGATGTATGCCACCATAATCTAGAAAACTCAAAGCTGTGGTTCTGGGGAACAAATCCAAGGTTCATAGCATTATATTCTTTATCTGGGCTGGTGAGATGGCTCAGTGGGTAAAGGTATTTGCTGCCAAGCCTAATAAACTGACCTCAATTCCCAGGTCCCCTATGGTAGGAGAAAATTGATTCCCAAAAGTTGTCCACCAACTTCCACATGTGTGCTATGGTACCCTTGCACACACAAAATTAATAAATAAATGTACACATACCCAGAGAATAAATGTAATTTTAAAAAAGCAATATAAGGGGCCATGTCTCAAAATTTTAATTGTATATTTTATATTTCCCAAATTCTTTCAAACGTGAGGACCTGAGTTCAACCCTAGAAACCATATAAAAAAGAAAAGCCAGGTGTGGAATCACATGCTTGTGATCCCAGCACTGGGAAGGCAGAGATAAGTGGATCCCTTGGGCTTGCTGGCCAGCCAGCCTAGTCTACTTGGCAAGCTCCAGGCCAAAGAGAGAACTGTCTCAAAGAAATAAGGTAGGGACTGGAAAGATGGCTCAGCAGTTAAGAGCACTGGCTGCCCTTGCAGAGGACCCAGGTTTGATTCCCATCACCCACATGGCAGCTAACAACCATCTGTAACTCCAGTTCCAGAGAATCCAATGCCCTCTTCTGACCTCTGTGGGCACTGCATGACACAGGTGCACTTACATATATGCAATATATCCATACACGTAAAGTAACAATAATACAGAAAATATTTTATTATTTTATGTGTATGAGTGAATTGCCTGCATGTATGTGACTGCACCCATGTTGTGCAACACCACGGAGGTCAGAAGAAAGCTTCAGATTCCCCTGGAACTGGAGTTAAGGATGGTTTGTAGCCACCACGTGGGTGCTGGGACTCGACCCCGGGTCTTCTGCAAGAGCAGTCAGTGCTCTTAACCACTGAGCCATCTCTCCAGCCCAAGAAAATATTTTTTAAACTATTAAAAAAAGTATTTCCAGTCAGGTGTTGTGGCACATGCCTTTAATCCCAGCATTCAGGAGGCAGAAGCAGGAGGATGAGAGATCAAGGCCAGTCTGGGCTACATAGTGAGTTTCAGGGCAGACGGGATACAGGGAGACCATGTCTCAAAAAATAGAAGGCAGTAAAAAAAAGGAAATAGAATACAAACTATACTAAATTACTCTTTGCAACCTATTTACCAATTTCATTTACTAGAAATGCTTGAGAATGCTTTTTCTCACATTTGTGAACTGTGTTTATGATTTTAATAAAATGCGTCAACTAAGTTGGAAACAACAGTTTCAAATTGTTTCTTAATTTCTTAAAATCTTGCAGTAGTGAATGGGGGAGGGAGGGAGGGAAAACAAAGCTGTGACAGATCATGTTCTCCAAAGATGGCTAGAGCAGTAGATTCTATATCTTATGTTCTTACAATGTAATGATATTCCTGCCTTCAAGTGGTGGGGTTTGTCTCCATTTCTTCTTTCTCCAAACCTATATGGACATTTATAACTTTTTCAAGAAACAGAATAAAGTAATACTATATGACTTCCAAGCTAAATTAAATGTATCATGTACCGTCACATTCCTCTCTTGGAATCCAGCCACCATGCTGTGAGAAAGCCAGTCACAAGAAGTGTATTGCCTGCATGTATGTGAGTGCACCCGTGTCATGCATTGCCACAGAGGTCAGAAGAGAGCTCTGGATTCCCCTGGAACTGGAGTTAAGGATGGTTCATAGCCACCATGTGGGTGCTGGGAATTGAAACTGGGTCCTCTGCAAGAGCAGTCAGTGCTCTTAACCACTGAGCCATCTCTCCAGCCCTAGAAAATATTTTTTAAAGTATTAAAAAAAGTATTTCAAGTCAGGTGTGGTGGCACATGCCTTTAATCCCAGCATTCTGGCAAACAGCCCAGGCTGAGGACGCAGCTAACATTAACCTCCAGGTACAAGAATGAGCAATCCTTCAAATGATTCCAGTTCTCAGTCACTGAGTCACACTTTTAGCTATTCTACTTCATATACTGTGTTAATAGAGACAAGCAAACCCAAGAATATTAATCGAATTGAAGATATATGTGTGTGGGTGTACACGTACACACACACACACACACACACACACGCACACACACACACACACACTGTGATGGCTAATCCTGGGTGTCAACTTGATTGGATCTGGAATTAACTGAAATGAAAGAGATCTTCTTGATTGGATCATCTAAAACCGGAAGACACACTCTAAATGTGGGTGTTACCTTCTGAGGGCAGCCAGTATAAAAGACCAAGGCAGAGGGGAACACCAGGCTTCTTGCTGCTTGCCTTCTCTCTTGCTGGTGAGTTCGTCTTGCTGCTGTAGACTGAAGACTAGCTGATCTTTCAGAATTTGTCAGACCTTCAGCGCCAGATTGGGACTAGATTCTCAGTCTCTCCAGTGTGGTGCAGCCATTGTTGGACTACTCGGACTCTATCCTGTGAGCTAAGCTGATAAATCTCTCTCTATATATATATATATTCATTCTACGGGTTCTGTTTCTTTAGAGAACCCTGACTAGTACAATTGATAACACACACACACACACACACACACACACACACACACACACACATTGAGACAGGGCTTCACTATGTAGACCAAGCTGGCCTTGAACTCAGAGATCCCTCTTGCCTCTCTCTTCCAAGCACTGGTATTAAAGGCATGTGCCACCTGCCCAGCTAAATGATGTTTTAAAAGCTACTAAATCTGGGGTAATTTATAATGAAACCAGTAACTGTCATAAAGTTCATAAATGCAATTTGGAAAATGCATAAAAAAGAAAAAAATGTACTTACCCTAAGTTTCATCACTAACATTTTGATATATATTTCATAACAGAAAAAACATGTTTTACTATTCACCTAAGATTTCAGATGCTTTGTTTTTACCAAGATATAAGCTGAAACTTAAAAAATTTTATTACTTTTATTTTTTATGTGTATGAGTATATTGTCTGCATGCAAGTAGGTGCACCCATGCTGTACAATGGCCACAGCAGTCAGAAGATGGCATCAGATCTCCTGGAATTGGAGTTACAGATGGTTGTTAACTGCCATGTGGCTGCTGGGAATTGAACCTGGGTCTTCTGTAAGAGCAGCCAGTGCTCTTAACCACTGAGCCATCTTTCCAGTCCCAAAAGTTTAAATGTTTAAAGACAATTAAGTATTTTTCATCTAACCAAAAACTGGTAGGAAGAACTTTTTCAGCAGTTAATAATTATTAACCCCCTTTCTTATTCCCCACTGTCTTTCACTCACCTGTCTCAAGTAAGGTGTCTGAGGATTGCTACCCCACCAATATTTCAATCTGGGTATGTATCAAGATCTTGGGTTGCTAAAGCAGTTGCTCTGGCAATCTTTCCTTGAAAATGTACTGCAAGCTTCAAATCTGAAAGTTTCAAGGAAATTAAATTCTAAATATAGACACCTCTTTTCCATTTTAATCACTTATAAATCTACCTCTCTAAGTAGTAAAGGGGGCTGACAAGATGGCTCAGTGAATAAAAGCACAAGCCAGACAACTTGAGTTCCATCCCTGGAATCCTCAGTAGAAGCAGAGAATCAACTCTTGAAAACTGACCTCCCACATGCACACTGTGGCACAAAGCCCCCCATATCCCTTTATAATTTCTTTTTCTTTTTTTCCTTTTTGAGTTTCTAAGAATTGAATCTAGGGCCTGATACTTCATTACCACTGAGCTGTATCCCCAGCCCTCTTTTCTTTCACTCTTAATTTCCAGAGTTATATAGGAAGAGTATACATGGACTTAAAGGAAAAATGAGTTAAAAGCTGAAAGGTATTAACAACTTGTTTTGCATGGCCATCTACTTTCACATAATAACATTTATTAACAACAGAGTAAGAACAGCTGAATTTAAGCTGCAATAGATGCACTATCAAAACAACTTCAGATGTAATTTGCAAAATATGTTTTTAGTCAACAATGTGTTTCAGTTCATTTCACTGGTCTAATGTTTCTGATGTTTTATTTTCAATTTTAACAGTTGTGTTATAAAAAGAGACAAATAGGAACAAAATACAGAGAAATGACAATAGGTATAGCAAATGCTTTTCAAATATGCAAGAAACCACATTACTAGTGAAAATACCTGATATGTATTTGACCAAAATTAACCTGAGAGGCCACACTTAGAGTTCTGAGATTATATTTCACATTCTTCCAGGGCTACATTTTACATCTTTCTGCTTCTGTAAAATAAACAAGCTTCTCTACTATCTTACAGCTATTTTCTTTTTTTTTAAATTTTGTTCCTATT